AGTGCTAGAATTACTGCCCTCAACCTGACATTTGCAGTAATACCTCACATGCATGGTGCACGGGACCAACGCATGCATTCTCCTTTGCACCCGAGCACAGGAAGGGGGGGGGGCTAGGGCGGGGGTGATTTTTTTCTATTTTAATTTTGATTTATTTCTTTATTTTTACACTGGCCTTGTCTTGTTATCACAGGGAATGTAAATATCCCCTGTGATAGCAATAGGCAGTGGTAGGCACTCTTTTCTGAGAAATCTTGGGTCTATTAGACTCTAGATATCTCCTCTGCCCAAAAGCATCTGATCACACCAAGATTGGTGTGATCAGATACTTTCCCAATTTAAAAATGGAGCTGTTTATATGCGGTGAAATGGAAATGATGAAATGCTCATAGCTTCCGGTTTCTTAGACCATAGAGATGATTAGAGGCATTCCAATCTCCGATCTGTTCTATGGTCAGTCGGTGGAGCCTCCGGCTGCATTCTCAGATTTCCCTGTGGGACGGGAGGGCCCGAGAAAGGGGAGGGGGGACGTTGAAACGTTCCTTCCCACTGCTTGTACAAATAATCCAGCAGCTAATTAGTCACTAGGATTGCATTTTCATGAAAGCTGCCCCCCAGCTGAAAAAAAATATTCCAGCATGATGCCTGTAGCTGCAGGCATCATCCCGGTATCACCACTCAAAGTTCAGCGATGTACCAGTATGTTGCTGGTATACTGTATGTAACAGCAGAGAACATGGACATATGATCAATCGGGTCTGTGAACCAATATGACCACAAGTCATTCTTTTTTGTAATGCCCATGTTGAGGGTTAGGCTCAAAAAAGATTTAATTCAGAAACCATGATAGGTTTCCATGCAAATTATCTGGCAAAAGTTAAATTTCGGTGGGCGGCGATGTATTGTTGTGCATATAAATTCCTTTGGCCCACACAAATATTCCTAAACACTACTGCTGACAGCTAATCAGGCTGATCCTGCTAACACTGCATTTTTGGGAACACTATGCTAAGGAGGCACTAGTATAGTTCTGTTTGTGATCAATATATTGATCCATAGAAACACTACACTAGTAATGGCGGTGATAAGCCATAATGTGAGTGCGATAGTGTAATTTCACTAGTGTTAGTAATACAGTGATCAGTGAAAAATTCTATATACTGATACTGTACTAATGGCACTGGCTGGGTGATCAAAGGGTTAAAAAGAGTGATCAAAGGGTATCTGTGCTCATCTAACGTGTGTAAAATGTAGTGCTTTTACTCAATGGTGTTCTCTCTTCTCTTCTTGGACACACAGAGGGGCAGTGGAGGGCGCACGTATGCGCACACACACCTGGAAATAGAATGCAACGTAAGAGTACGTCACTTTGCCCAGAGACGTTGCTCACCTGCACATTGCAGGTAGGCGGTTGGCATGTAGTTAAAAAAAAACAAAAAACGACAATGCAAAAAATTCTCCATATTTTATTTTAATTTATTTTTTACCATTACTACTGTATACTTTCATCAGAGTAGTGCAATGTTACCATAGTAACATTGTACTACTCTGCGGTTATGGGGGAATCAGGGGTTATTTTTGGTATTGCATGAGCAATAAAGAATGCTTTGAAGTGTCATGAATGGGTTAAGTTCATGAAAGTGCATAATACAGTGATCTGTGATTGGCTCCAGCTGGTCACATGCTACAAGGTACTGTGATTGGCCATCACAGCTCGCCAAGAAGAGAAGCAAAGCAGCATAACATAACAGCAGCAGCAAAGCAGCATAAGCATAACAGCTTTACTAGCACATGATTACCAGGTCCCATTCATGCGGGGGGGGGGGGGGGGGGGGGGAGCGGTGCGTTGCGCTGCGCCCTCTTGTGTTGGGACAGGCAAAGTGACGTACCTGTACATTACTTTGCCTGTAGCTGCTGCCTGTCCACAGTACATTGCGGGCAGGTGGTCTTAAAGTGGTTAATAAAGGAAATAAAAAAAAACAAAAAAAAGGAAAAACTGCAGCTACCACATCTAAGGACTGGTAAGCTGCAATATATGATATTTTTGTCCTTGGGTGTAGATATACTTGAATCTAATATAAAACCATATGTTTTAGAACTCTTGATTGGTATATTAATGTATTAAATCAATTGTGAAGGCTCAGGTTTTTTATAATAAATATGTTATACTTACCTGTTCTGTGCAATTGTATTGCACAGAGCTGCCCCAAACCTCTTTTTCTTGAGTCCCCTGTCCACATTCTAGGCTCCTCCTCTTCTTGGTGTGTCCCCAGAAAGCAGCCAGGCTGTGTTCTTCCATTGACACACACAGCATGGTTTGGCCTGTGAGAGCCGGGAGAAAGCCAATACAGGTGGGCACAACACTGGATCCAGGGAGGACTGAAAATGTCTAGTCTTTGGAACCACTTTAAACAGATACATATTTGTTAATATACTGTAAGGGCAGTGGCAGATGGGTGTTTTATTATAATCAAACATCACAAAGCTTTTGTTCTATCTGTGTCTAGGTGATATTTTAAGACTTTAAATCAGCAAAGATGCTGTCTAGACAAGTTCTTTAAAAGATACCATCTAAGTACAGCAATTCGCATTATAGTATTGCCAAATTACAAGGCACCTGAAACAGGAAATTGTATTGTCGCTAGACTGGTTACACAGTATATTGCAAATTTAGATATATGCCTGGAGCTCCACTATAGTTGTCAGACACCCAGCTAAAAGCTTCCACCTGACCTCACCCTTAGGCATAGTAGCCAACTGTCATGAATTGCCCAGGACAGTCCCAATATTTTGAACCATGTCCCACCATTGCTCAGTCTGGCTAATGTCCTGAAAATCAGAGATCAGGTCAGGGGCAGCCTCAGAAAGGGCTTCTTTCTTTCTGCAAGAGCTTAGCAGTTAAAAACATTAAAAGCTTTCCTGGCCCCATTTGCTCAGTGGGAAGGGGGGCCATGGCAGACTGGGGACTATTTTCCATTTCCGGGGAGTGGCGGAGTAATCTGCAGTGCCGCTGTTTGCTATTAATGAACTAATGCCCGAGCCACTTTTGTATCAATCTGCCAGATAGCTCAGGCGGATTGATGTAGAAGAGGCTGGGACATTAGTTTAATTCATAAGAGCTGCTGCACTGCAGATTAGTCTGCCATACCTGAAATTGGAAAAATAGTCCCAGGTCTACCTGTACTGTTCTCCCATTGAGCACCCCTGGGACCCACAATTCTGGCAGCCATGAGGGAGCTGCTAAACCGAGTGTAAACGGCAGAGAATCCTGCCTCGGTGTGCGTTGTGCAGCCTTCTTGGGAAAGTTTGTGCCTGCATAAAGAAAGAGCAGGCCAGGTAAGCTCTTCCCTGGGCAGAGAAATAAAGAAGGTATCTCCTGCGCCTCCCGATAAACTACTGAAATACAGCAGCCAGCACTACGGGTGCCACAATCTAAGCACCCACAATATACAGGGAATGAAAGTAGAAAACAGTGCGGCGCTTCTATACCCTTACACCCCTAGATGTTATGTAATCCAAATGCCTTATCACATGTATCTAATAAGTGATAAACTGGTGATAACACACAATAAAGTGACTAAAACACAATAACATGAATAGTAGAGATGAGCGAAGAAATGAAAAATTCGATTCGACTGATTCGGCGAATTCGTGGACAATATTCGATTCGAGTCGAATAAATTCGCTGTGAATTTAACTTAAAAAAGGGTGTGTTTCTAGGCTTCAGAGAGACTTAATATTTAGTGCAGAACATACTGTCTGTCAGTATGACATGCAGATGATGAGTGCCGTCGATCTTAGAATCACTGCACACTTCACTCCTTTGGCCAGTCACGGGGCCAAAACCAGTGTTTGGAGCCACAGTGTGTGGCGGGGGAGGCAGCAGCAATGGGAGGCCATACAGCAACCTATGACAAAATGGAAACCAGCAGGAGCGTGAGGAGACCTGAAAGTGGCACATGGCAGAGTGGGAGCAATGGGAGGCGGTACAGGGACCCAGGTCACACTGTGGGCCCAGCAGCAGCGTGACCAGGCGGTACGGGGGGCCCATGGCCGATATGGGGCTTGGTGGCACCTATGGAAGGCCTGTAATCTGCCAGCAACCTATGACAAAATGGACAACCGCAGGAGTGTGAGGAGATTTCAAAGTGGCACATGGCAGAGTGGAAGCAATGGGACCGTACAGGGACCCAGGTCACACTGTGGGACCAGCATCAGCGTGAACAGGCGGTACGGGGGCCCATGGCCGATTTGACCTCATTCATCCCATAGTCCTGCCGACTCACGAATAGCGTGGCCTCCTCAAAGGGCCTGAGCAAGCGCAGGTGTCACACATGAGCTGACAATGGCTGACATCTAAGTTACACAGGGAGTACCTTTATCCGCTTTTTAACATCAGGAAATCTGTGATGGCCTTTAGCTGTTCGTAAAGGCGGTCTAACATATGTAGGGTTGAATTACACCTTGTTGCAACGTCACAGCATGAGGAGAGTCGGTACGGGGGCCCATGGCAGATTACATGTCTGGCAGCAGCAATGGGAGGCCCGTAATCTGCCAGCACCCTATGTCAAAAAATTTAACACACCAGCAGTGTGAAGAGACCTGAAAGTGGCACATGGCAGCAGAGTGTGGCGATGGAGACAGCAGCAATGGGAGGCCGTACAGGGACCCATGAGAGACTCTGGACTTGGCAGCAGCATGAGGAGGCGGTATATAGGGGCCCATGGCAGATTAGGGGCCTGGCAGCAGCTATGTGAGGCCCGTAATCTGCCTGCACCCTATGTCAAAAAATTTAAACACACCAGCAGTGTGAAGAGACCTGAAAGTGGCACATGGCAGCAGAGTGTGGCGATGGAGACAGCAGCAATGGGAGGCCGTACAGGGACCCATGAGAGACTCTGGACTTTGGCAGCAGCATGAGGAGGGGTATATAGGGGCCCATGGCAGATTAGGGGCCTGGCAGCAGCTATGTGAGGCCCGTAATCTGCCCTGCACCCTATGTCAAAAAATTTAACACACCAGCAGTGTGAAGAGACCTGAAAGTGGCACATGGCAGCAGAGTGTGGCGATGGAGACAGCAGCAATGGGAGGCCGTACAGGGACCCATGAGAGACTCTGGACTTGGCAGCAGCATGAGGAGGCGGTATATAGGGGCCCATGGCAGATTAGGGGCCTGGCAGCAGCTATGTGAGGCCCGTAATCTGCCTGCACCCTATGTCAAAAAATTTAACACACCAGCAGTGTGAAGAGACCTGAAAGTGGCACATGGCATGGCAGAGTGTGGCGATGGAGACAGCAGCAATGGGAGGCCGTACAGGGACCCATGACAGACTCTGGACTTGGCAGCAGCATGAGGAGGCAGAGTGTGGGTATGGTAGGGTATATAGGGGCCCATGGCAGATTAGGGGCCTGGCAGCAGCTATGTGAGGCCCGTAATCTGCCTGCACCCTATGTCAAAAAAAAAATTAACACACCAGCAGTGTGAAGAGACCTGAAAGTGGCACATGGCAGCAGCAGCAGAGTGTGGCGATGGAGACAGCAGCAATGGGAGGCCGTACAGGGACCCATGACAGACTCTGGACTTGGCAGCAGCATGAGGAGGCGGTATATAGGGGCCCATGGCAGATTAGGGCCTGGCAGCAGCTATGTGAGGCCCGTAATCTGCCTGCACCCTATGTCAAAAAAATTTAACACACCAGCAGTGTGAAGAGACCTGAAAGTGGCACATGCAGCAGAGAGTGTGGCGATGGAGACAGCAGCAATGGGAGGCCGTACAGGGACCCATGAGAGACTCTGGACTTGGGCAGCAGCATGAGGAGGCGGTATATAGGGGCCCATGGCAGATTAGGGGCCTGGCAGCAGCAGCAGCTATGTGAGGCCCGTAATCTGCCTGCACCCTATGTCAAAAAATTTAAACACACCAGCAGTGTGTGAAGAGACCTGAAAGTGGCACATGGCAGCAGAGTGTGGCGATGGAGACAGCAGCAATGGGATGGGAGGCCGTACAGGGACCCATGAGAGACTCTGGACTTGGCAGCAGCATGAGGAGGAGGCGGTATATAGGGGCCCATGGCAGATTAGGGGCCTGGCAGCAGCTATGTGAGGCCGTAATCTGCCTGCACCCTATGTCAAAAAAAAAATTTAACACACCAGCAGTGTGAAGAGACCTGAAAGTGGCACATGGCAGCAGAGTGTGGCGATGGAGACAGCAGCAATGGGAGGCCGTACAGGGACCCATGACAGACTCTGGACTTGGCAGCAGCATGAGGAGGCGGGTATATAGGGGCCCATGGCAGATTAGGGGCCTGGCAGCAGCTATGTGAGGCCCGTAAATCTGCCTGCACCCTATGTCAAAAAATTTAAAACACACCAGCAGTGTGAAGAGACCTGAAAGTGGCACATGGCAGCAGAGTGTGGCGATGGAGACAGCAGCAATGGGAGGCCGTACAGGGACCCATGAGAGACTCTGGACTTGGCAGCAGCATGAGGAGGCGGTATATAGGGGCCCATGGCAGATTAGGGGCCTGGCAGCAGCTATGTGAGGCCCGTAATCTGCCTGCACCCTATGTCAAAAAATTTAAACACACCAGCAGTGTGAAGAGACCTGAAAGTGGCACATGGCAGCAGAGTGTGGCGATGGAGACAGCAGCAATGGGAGGCCGTACAGGGACCCATGAGAGACTCTGGACTTGGCAGCAGCAGCATGAGGAGGCGGTATATAGGGGCCCATGGCAGATTTAGGGGCCTGGCAGCAGCTATGTGAGGCCCGTAATCTGCCTGCACCCTATGTCAAAAAATTTAAACACACCAGCAGTGTGAAGAGACCTGAAAGTGGCACATGGCAGCAGAGTGTGGCGATGGAGACAGCAGCAATGGGAGGCCGTACAGGGACCCATGAGAGACTCTGGACTTGGCAGCAGCATGAGGAGGCGGTATATAGGGGCCCATGGCAGATTAGGGGCCTGGCAGCAGCTATGTGAGGCCCGTAATCTGCCTGCACCCTATGTCAAAAAAAAATTTAACACACCAGCAGTGTGAAGAGACCTGAAAGTGGCACATGGCAGCAGAGTGTGGCGATGGAGACAGCAGCAATGGGAGGCCGTACAGGGACCCATGAGAGACTCTGGACTTGGCAGCAGCATGAGGAGGCGGTATATAGGGGCCCATGGCAGATTAGGGGCCTGGCAGCAGCTATGTGAGGCCCGTAATCTGCCTGCACCCTATGTCAAAAAAATTTAACACACCAGCAGTGTGAAGAGACCTGAAAGTGGCACATGGCAGCAGAGTGTGGCGATGGAGACAGCAGCAATGGGAGGCCGTACAGGGACCCATGAGAGACTCTGGACTTGGCAGCAGCATGAGGAGGCGGTATATAGGGGCCCATGGCAGATTAGGGGCCTGGCAGCAGCTATGTGAGGCCCGTAATCTGCCTGCACCCTATGTCAAAAAATTTAACACACCAGCAGTGTGAAGAGACCTGAAAGTGGCACATGGCAGCAGAGTGTGTGGCGATGGAGACAGCAGCAATGGGAGGCCGTACAGGGACCCATGAGAGACTCTGGACTTGGCAGCAGCATGAGGAGGGCGGTATATAGGGGCCCATGGCAGATTAGGGGCCTGGCAGCAGCTATGTGAGGCCCGTAATCTGCCTGCACCCTATGTCAAAAAAAAATTTAACACACCAGCAGTGTGTGAGAGACCTGAAAGTGGTGGCACATGGCATGGCAGAGTGTGGCGATGGAGACAGCAGCAATGGGAGGCCGTACAGGGACCCATGAGAGACTCTGGACTTGGCAGCAGCATGAGGAGGCGGCGGGTATATAGGGGCCCATGGCAGATTAGGGCCTGGCAGCAGCTATGTGAGGCCCGTAATCTGCCTGCACCCTATGTCAAAAAATTTAACACACCAGCAGTGTGAAGAGACCTGAAAGTGGCACATGGCAGCAGAGTGTGGCGATGGAGACAGCAGCAATGGGGGAGGCCGTACAGGGACCCATGAGAGACTCTGACTTGGCAGCAGCATGAGGAGGAGGGGCGGTATATAGGGGCCCATGGCAGATTAGGGGCCTGGCAGCAGCTATGTGAGGCCCGTAATCTGCCTGCACCCTATGTCAAAAAATTTAAACACACACCAGCAGTGTGAAGAGACCTGAAAGTGGCACATGGCAGCAGAGTGTGGCGATGGAGACAGCAGCAATGGGAGGCCGTACAGGGACCCATGAGAGACTCTGGACTTGGCAGCAGCATGAGGAGGCGGTATATAGGGGCCCATGGCAGATTAGGGGCCTGGCAGCAGCTATGTGAGGCCCGTAATCTGCCTGCACCCTATGTCAAAAAATTTTAACACACCAGCAGTGTGAAGAGAGAGACCTGAAAGTGGCACATGGCAGAGTGTGGCGATGGAGACAGCAGCAATGGGAGGCCGTACAGGGACCCATGAGAGACTCTGGACTTGGCAGCAGCATGAGGAGGGAGGGGGTATATAGGGGCCCATGGCAGATTAGGGGCCTGGCAGCAGCTATGTGAGGCCCGTAATCTGCCTGCACCCTATGTCAAAAAAATTTAACACACCAGCAGTGTGAAGAGACCTGAAAGTGGCACATGGCAGCAGAGTGTGGCGATGGAGACAGCAGCAATGGGAGGCCGTACAGGGACCCATGAGAGACTCTGGACTTGGCAGCAGCATGAGGAGGCGGTATATAGGGGCCCATGGCAGATTAGGGGCCTGGCAGCAGCTATGTGAGGCCCGTAATCTGCCTGCACCCTATGTCAAAAAATTAAACACACCAGCAGTGTGTGTGAAGAGACCTGAAAGTGGCACATGGCAGCAGAGTGTGGCGATGGAGACAGCAGCAATGGGAGGCCGTACAGGGACCCATGAGAGACTCTGGACCTGGCAGCAGCATGAGGAGCGGTATATAGGGGCCTATGGCAGAGATTAGGGGCCTGGCAGCAGCTATAGGAGGCCCGTAATCTGCCTGCAGCACCCTATGTCAAAAAATTAAACACACCACACCAGCAGTGTGAGGAGACCTGAAAGTGGCACATGTTTGAGGCATGATTCATGGCGGATTTAGTCAGTTGTGTCAGGAACTGGTGGTTTGAAATCCAGACTAATCCACGCCTGATTCATTTTCACAAACGTGAGTCTCTCCACACTTTTGGGTGGACAGTCGTGTCCTCCGCGGAGTTACAATACCTCCTGCCGCACTAAACACGCGCTCCGATGCCACGCTACTGGCCGGGCATGACAGCCTTTCAAGGGCAAATTCAGCTAGTTGGGGCCAAAGGTCAAGTTTCGTTGCCCAGTAGTCAAGGGGATTGTCTACCTCGGTTGGCAGGGTGCTGTCCAAGTAGGCCCAAGCCTGTTGTTTGAGCTCCTGCTCCAGGTCCACCTGATGCTGCTGCTGCTGCTGCTGCGGCTGGTTAGTAGTTTCCTCACTGCGCTGGTGAAGAAAGCTACTCATCATGACTGCTGCAGACTGAGGCAGCCGCTGCTGGTGGAGCTGCCACTGCTCCTACCCCACCCCACCCCTCCCCTGCTGCCATGCCAGCGGAACGCGAGCGCACAGGGCCCACAGTGTCTGAGGATGGACGTTGGCGCACAAAGGCAGAGACCAACTGACTACATAGGTGTTTTTTTATAGTACGTAATTTTGGCCTCCCTCTCAGCAGGTGTGAAAAAAAAGGCCACCATTTTGGACCGGTAGCGAGGGTCCAACAAGGTGGACAGCCAAAAGTCATCCCTCTGTCTGATGGTTATTATTCGGCTGTCGCTACGCAAGCAAACCGAGCATGCTATGGGCCATTTGTGCCAAGGAATGCGAGGGACTCCCTGCCTCCATCTCCACAGCATACTGCCACGGTGCGTCTGGGTCCTCTGTCTCTCTCCTCCTCCTCCTCTACCAGATGCTCCTGCTCCTCCACTCCTGTCCGCTGAGTGGAAAAAAAAACCACCCATTTCACTCAATATAATTCCTGAGCACAAATGTCCTCCTCTACCTCCTCCTCTTCTTCCTGTCCTGCCCCCACAGGGGTCATGTGGCGTTGAGATCTGTGCGCCACGTCTACCGCACCCTGACCAGCCATTGTTAACAGCATTTGTTCCAGGACGTGCAACAGAGGAATGACGTCGTTCATCCCATAGTCCTGCCGACTCACGAATAGCGTGGCCTCCTCAAAGGGCCTGAGCAAGCGGCAGGTGTCACGCATGAGCTGCCAATGGCTGACATCTAAGTTACACAGGGGAGTACCTTTATCCGCTTGTAACATCAGGAAATCGGTGATGATGGCCTTTCGCTGCTCGTAAAGGGCGGTCTAACATGTGTAGGGTTGAATTCCACCTTGTTGCAACGTCGCAGATCAGGCGAGGCAGGTGATGCTGTGGAATTCCGTTCTGCCGCTGCAGCTCAATGAGGGTGTTCTTTGCGGTGTAGGAATGGCTGAAATGCATGCACAGTTTACGTGACATTTAAGGATGATGTCTTGCAGTGGGATGGTGGATTTTAGGAACCGCCGCTTGACAACCAGATTGAACACGTGAGCCATGCATGGCGCATGGCACAACCTTCCTTGACGCAGAGCAGACACCATGTTCTTTCCGTTGTCAGTCAACATGGTTCCGATTTTTAGTTTTGCGCGGAGACAGCCATCTGTCGATTTCTCTGTTCATTACACTCAGCAGTTCCTCCCCTGTGTGACTACGTTCGCCAAGGCATACCAGGTGCAGCACAGCGTGACACCGTTGCGCCCTGCACATGTGATATGCCGGTCGGGTAATGGGACTTGGCATGGGGGGGGGGGGTGGCGGCTGAGGACACTGAGGCACGGGAAAAAGAGAGGTGGTAGAGGCGGACATGCTTGCTGGACCAAGGACGTGCAAACGTGGAGGCAAAAGCGTCGTGACCTGTCCAAGTTGCTGGTGCGGCTGCGGCTGTGCCGGCACCACGTTCACCCAGTGGGCCGTAAACATGACATGTACTGTCCCTGACCGTAGTTACAGCTCCACACGTCGGCGCTGCCGTGCACTTTGGCAGAGACCGACATGCTCAAAGACTGGCCCCCACCATCTCTTCTACATGTGAATGCAGGGCTGGCACTGCCTTTTGGGCAAAGAAATGACGGCGGCTTGGCACTCTCCACCGCGGCGCGGCACAAGCCATCATTTCTCGGAAAGGTGCTGAGTCCACCAGTTGGAAAGGGGGAGGGACTGCAGCACCAGCAACTTGGACAGGAGGACGTTCAGCTTTTGCACCGTCGGGTGCGTGCTCGCAAACTGTTGTCTCTTGGATACGGATTCCAAGAAAGACTGTTGACGGAATCCGAGAAGAAGAGGAGTAGCAGGAGAAGGAGCATCTGAACGAGCGGAAGATGCCAATGAGCGACAACTCCCCTCAGCAGAGGTGTTGGAGCCTTGACTGGCTGATAGAGGGCGATTGACGACGTCGGGTGACGGAGCAAGCTAACGGAGCGGGTGATGGAGCGGGGGCTGGGGCAGGCAGAACCGCCGTATGTTTATCACGGTTTTCCCAGGCCACCGAATGGTGACGCTGCATATGCTGACGCAACGCTGTAGTCCCAACATGGGCCCCCTGGCCACGCTTGCATTTCTGGCCACATAGTCGACATACGGCTACGTTTACTTTCCTCGGGCGGCTTGAGGAAAAATTGCCACACCACCGAGTAGGAAACTTTGCCCCCGCTACTCTTCACTGGCTGACTGCTACTTCCTCCGTGCGCACCGGCACCACTACTGGCCGTGGTGGTGGTAGGCTGCAGTGGAGCTGGTGCTCTACTCCGTGGACGTTTGGCTCCACTGACACTGATGCGACCCTGCTGCTGTCTCCTGGGCAACCCACCGACTGTTTTGCTCGCTGCCAAGCTGCCACCCTCTTCTCCTGATGATGCGGAAGAAAAAGATGATGACGACGAGGCTGCCAAGTGCGATCAACCTCCTCATCATCAAGTAGGGTCTCCGCCTCACTACTAGCCCCCTCGGCTGCGTCTGGGTCAGGAGACAGACCTGTCTCTAGACCGGCTACCGAGCCACTCTCCTCGCCAGTACTTGTTCGCTTGGCTGCTGAAAAGGCCGATGTCTCCCCCCGTTCCTGACCGCCCTCTGTTAGCTCTTCCTCACTGTACAGTGGGGCTGAGCCCACAGCATGCGATACTTCGCTTGGTGGTGAGGGAACAGCAAAGGACAGGGGCAGGTAGAGGACACGTGATTTCAGTGGGCTTGGTCCCGGGCCATGCCAACTAACGGTTGTGTCTGACGTACCCACCGACCGTTGGCTGTAGGGTGTCAGAGGTGACCTGGGAAGAGGAAGACGACCGAGCCAACCAATCAATGACGGCAGGGGTTGTCGGTGGAGACACGACCTGGCTGGATGACACCGGGGGAGCACTGGCCTCTGGCTGCGAATACTGCTGCCTCGACCCCTTCCTCTGCTGCCACGTCTGCTCGCTCCTAAAACATTGCCTCCTCTGCCACTCCTCTGCATGTTGTCTGACATACTATTTAATTCAACGATTAGGTGTCCCTGAGTAACAATTCTCTGGCACTCAGTAACAATTCTGTCTGTCCCTGAGTATGAATTCTGTGGCCCTGAGTAACAATTCTGTGTCTGTGCTGTGAGTAACAATTCTGTGTCTGTGCGAGTAACAATTCTGTGTCTGTGCAAGTAACAATTTGTGTGTCTGTGTGCGAGTAACAATTCTCTGTGTCTCAGTAACAATTTCTGTCTGTCCCTGAGTAACAATTCTCTGGCACTCAGTAACAATTCTGTCTGTCCCTGAGTAACAATTCTCTGGCACTCAGTAACAATTCTGTCTGTCCCTGAGTAACAATTCTCTGGCACTCAGTAACAATTCTGTCTGTCTGTGTCGTGCAAGTAACAATTCTGTGGCCCTGAGTAACAATTCTGTGTCTGTGCGAGTAACAATTTCTGTGCAGTAACAATTTTCTGTCTGCTGAGTAACAATTCTCTGGCACTCAGTAACAATTCTGTCTGTCCCTGAGTAACAATTCTCTGGCACTCAGTAACAATTCTGTCTGTCCCTGAGAGTAACAATTCTCTGGCACTCAGTAACAATTCTGTCTGTCCCTGAGTAACAATTCTCTGGCCCTGAGTAACAATTCTGTGTCTGTGAGTAACAATTCTGTGGCCTGAGTAACAATTCTGTGTCTGTGCAAGTAACAATTTTGTGTCTGTGCGAGTAACAATTCTGTGTCTGGCACTCAGTAACAATTCTTGGCACTCAGTAACATTCTGTCTGTCCCTGAGTAACAATTCTCTGGCACTCAGTAACAATTCTTCTGTCTGTCCCTGAGTAACAATTCTCTGGCACTCAGTAACAATTCTGTCTGTCCCTGAGTATGAATTCTCTGTGCCCTGAGTAACAATTCTGTGTCTGTGCGAGTAACAATTCTGTGTCTGTGCAAGTAACAATTTGTGTGTCTGTGCGAGT